CCAGGAGGAAGATGCAACCTGGGCAGCCCAGCTGCTGAGCCAGGCGTGAGGCTCCAGGCACCAGCTGAGGTGGTTCCCACTGTGATCTCATTTCGCAGACAGCTCTGGGGCAATCATGTCCCCACACAGCACCTGGGAACTAGATTTTACACCCCAAAGAGAATGCAGGGAAAGGGGAGGGTGCCAACCAGCACCCTGCAAACCCACAGAAGGGAGTGACTTCCAGAGGTGGTGCTGCTCTGCATCCCAGCGTTTGAAAAGCTCCCAGCACCCAGGACAAATGACTCAAAGAAACAATCTTGGCCCACATTTAAACTTAATACACAGCTTCAACAACCTGGGAACAGAAACGTGACACAGAGAACAGGGCAGAAGGTGGCCACCCTGCAGACACTGCCACGCTCTCCCAGTGCTGTGCAGGGGGGAGCTTGGGACAGCAAACTAACCAGTTTGTTGCCACCATCACCTGTGGTGGCCAAGCACTAAGAACAAAACAGATTTGGTCTTAAATTGTAACACAAAGCAATAACAAAAGCATTTCTTCCAACCCTAGGGCTCACAGTCCCAACACGAACCAAGAGCAACCAAACAGCGTAAGTTTCAGCAGTATTTCCTCCCGTTATATAACTTAGTATATCGTGCTGAAAACCAGAAAAATTCCACCCTCAGCACCACGGTGTTATCACAAGCAATCTGTATTGTAAAGTTGCCCACTAAGGTTAAGGAGAATTGTGAAAGTGAACCGCATCCCATTTTGATTTATTTAGAAATCCTGTTATTTAACAGAGGAGCAGGGAGCTCCCAGAGAACAAGGGGCAGGGCTACACCAAAGCCCAAGCAGACACTGCCTTGCTGGAATCAGAAGAGCTCTCCAATCCAGCTCCACCACCCTGCCCTGTTAGAACCAGAACAGCTTCCTTCCTCCCACCCAAGCAGCAAGCCAAGGCGAGTCTCCCCACTGGCCCACGGCGGGGTCCCAGGCACAGAGGCTACAGATGTCCCAAGCTCCCCAGGATTGTTTGCGATGGCTCTAAAGGCTGCTACAAGAAACAGCAGCTCCTCATGCTGCCAGCAGATGCATTAGGCACGAAGCAGCGTGGGGACAGAATGTTTCTCCAGCACATTAAGGCACTTCAGCATCAATTCACTTCCTCTGCAGCCTGAGTCACACTCATGCGCACAGTGCTATTTTGGGGGGGATAAAAGGCTTAAGGCTTCTGGGGTAACAGTGCCCAGGGGGAGCGTTTTCAGAGTCTTTTAGCGTTGCTTTATTCCCCAACTGTTGCTGGCTACTGAAAGACTCGGGTCATATTTACCCGAGGAAAGCGGGTCCTGCTCCATGGACGGCCACCAAGCACCAAGCCAGACCTGTGTGCAGAGGATCTGAGGAGCCTGTAGCACCCTGGTGTAATTAGCAGTGGTGTAACTGGCACACCTGCTTGCCCGTGAAGTCCACAAAGAGCCCTTGAGCACCCTGATAATCCTCTGGTCTTACTGGTCACACAGGATCTGCACCGAGAATTTATCAGAAAAGACCAGGGCATACATTTCCTTTTAGTGATGATTTTAACTGTCACATTTGCATGTTCAGCATTTGACATGCCCGTAAGGCAATTTAGAATTCATCTCCCAGCATCAGAGACCACACCAGCTCCAGCAAACACAGCACAAATGCATTCCACAAGATCAAAACTACTGCAAAGTCTGACACCGAAGCCCTGAACGATTCCAGTTAGCCAGTCAGCAGCTAAACACTTCTGGCAACAAACCCCCTGATTTCTCAAAGATTGGGTAAGTCACACCTCTTGTACCCGAGCAAAAGGATGGTAAAGTGCTGAATAGGTTTTGGGTTGTAGGAGCTTTAGACTCCTGAGGGTTTCAAGTCTTCAGTTCTTGGCTTACTTTGGGGTATGCTCTTTACTGGGTGATGCAGTTGTCTCCCATGTCCTGAGCGTATCTGTCAGATATTGACGTCCTTAAGTCCTCTACCTCTTTGTGAAGCTGTTTCACCTCCACCAGTTTCTTGGCAAGTGCATCAGGGCTCAGCAAGTCATCCTTCTCCTTAGCAGAATACTGCACAGCTGTGGAGGCAGAGAAGGGAGTGACCTCACATGGAATTCTGACTGAGGATCACACACGTTTGCAAGCGAGCCGGAAAAACCAACGCACATTTACAGAAGAAGTACTACTTAACATTTAGTTATTACAACGTGCACCTTTAGAGCTAGCTAACCACAGAAAGAAGGCTGAGAATCCCAGAAAGACAAGAACCTGTAATACATGCGAGTTGTTTAATTCTACCACAGCACAGGAACCGAAGGGTTTGCTCTGCCATCGCTCCACATACTTACAGCAAATGCCCAGGAGCAGAGAGAGGTTGGGATCTTTGCCCTGAGCCCTCTGAGTGACGATGCTGTAGACAGACTGCAAATCCTGCAGACAACTGGCCAGCTCGCTGTGCAGTTCCTGGGCGAGGCGGGCTGTCTCAGCAGGCAGTGGCTGGGTCGTTAGCTCTGCCTGACGGAGTCGTTCCTGAAGGGTCAGGTTCTTCTCGATGAGATCCTGGTTCTGCACTGAAAGCTGAACCAAGGAACACAGCAGGTTAGTAGTCACTTGGTACAGAAATAGCATACTTAAAGAGACTTAACGCAACTGCTAGAGGGTGATGGGAGTGCCAAGGGCAGGAGGAGCTGGTTTACATCAAACCCTCCTCACCAGAGGAGCAAGTGTCAGTCCTTCAGGGTGTGAGCATCCAGCTTTCCTGGCTCAGGAAGAAGCACCTCATGACACTGCACTGCCCCTGCTGAGGCATGATGCAGCAAAATAAGCTTTCAGAAGGTTCTGCACCAGCCACTCACCCCAACAGTGGGCAACCCTGCCCTCCAGGGCTGCCGGTGTGCTTCGTTTCCTTTAGGCTGGAGTGGGGTTCAGCCCTGCCCTTCATACAGGGCTGCAGTCAAGTTTGGACTCTGGGCTTGCTGCCTTGCTGCCCTCAGCTGGCAAGCTCAGCGTCCTCCACCACAGTCCACAGCCCCAGCTGAAGTTCCCGAGACAGAAATTGCCTTTCTCCTCCTGCTCTTACCAAAGCGCTCCTTTCAGAGCACTGACAGGGCAGGAGACTACCAGGAAGCAGGAGAAGTTGTGCTGCTGACTGCAAATTAAGGGCCTTGCTGAAAGACAATCCGTTGTTCATTCAATTGCTGTGCTCGGGCACTCTAAACACTCCTGCTCTGACCTCTTTCACAGCAGTCCGGAGCTGCTGCAGCACGTTTTCTCTTCTCATCGCCTCCTCTTTCAGAGCTTGGCTTGTCCCCTCTTCCTGGCCCACCTGCTCTTCCAGGTTCTGGAAGAGACCATGGGAAAATATAAGTCTACCTCACCTCACAGCAAATTCTCAATTCTAGGTCCCTCTGCAGTTACCTCTCACCTTTACTTGCAAGGACAATTGCTCCATCTTCTTCTGCTGCTTGTCCACAATCTGGAATCAAAAGCAGAGGCATCAGAACTGACCACACCGACTCAATAATACCACCAGGATTTCCCCTTCAGTAGGGGAGCATCCCCTCTCTCCTTTTCCACTTACTGCTTTAATCACTGTCTCTGGTAGTAGTGGACTTAGATTCCCTCATGAAAAGCACCTGATAAAAGGCACCATTAGTGCTATCAGCTAAAAACAGACTGGGGAAGTTGCATTCTTGTGGTTTTCCTCTCCCCTCTTCTGCATTCTGCAACTTCTCTGCAGTGTTACTGTACAACGGCATGGTTATCACACCAAGAACAGCTTTGAAAACCCCTCAGTTTGGGATTCCAGCAACTGCTGCTTCAGTGCAATTGTGACTGCAAAAGTCCCTGATTTCATTTCAGTGCCTGGTGTGACTCGGTGGAAGGAAAAATGTGTGATCCCCAGTTGGGACAGGCTGTTACCTTCCTGAGGCAGTCGCATTCTTTCTTCAGAGAGTCATTTTCTATTTTGTGTCTCTCCCCATCCTGGGCAGGGGGTCCTCTCTCAGCATTCTTTACACACTGCTGCACCTTGTCCTGCAAGCTGAAATTAGCAGAACACCATGGGAAAAACCAGCTTTGTTTAGGGTGTTCCCCTCACTAAAGAATCTGAGGACGCAAATGATTCTCCTACCAGATGTCATTGTTGACCTGTTTGCATCCCAGCTTGCAAGGAGTCTCCCTTCCCCCTGGACACAGCTGTGCCCATGATACTGGCACATGTGCAGAGGTAAAATGATTGCAAATTACATGGGTCCACTCTGCCAGGAGTTACAGTTGGGAGCAGTAACCCAAGGACACAAACCCAGGTGACAAAACAGGGCTTCCCCCTTCTCCTTTCAGCCACGTGGTTCTGCTCCCACCCTCCACTGCTGGCACGCAGAACCTGAACACGGTGTTTGGGTGAGCACTGACATAATCATCACAAATCTATGGTAACCTGCTTGACAGGTGGGACTGTGGCTGTTCTTGGGCACTAAGATGAAGCTTATTCTAATCCTCCCTATTTTTACCTGCGTACAGTGGAAAGAAGCTCCAGCTCCTTGTGTTTTTGGGTTTCTAGCTGCATTTCTTGCTCCCTGAAAGCAGTCCGGACATCTCCAAGCTCTGTTTCCAGTGCCAGCACCGTTTCCTGCATAGCTGTGCTCTTCAGTTCAGATTCCTTCAGCTGCAACAAAGACCATCATAACACCCTACAGACTTCCCAGGAGTTTCACCACACACACCATATATTGCAACATTTGCAATGCTGATTTTTTTTACTAGCTATGTGGCAATTCTCAGCTACAGCTCTGAACATCCCTCCTCCAAAATGGCCAGACCACAACTTTACTTGAGCAGCTGCACAGGGGATTGTCTGCAGCTGTAGGAAAGCCACCTGAGCAAGGATCTGAAGGGCTATCTTCACAACTCGAATTTACCTTCTGACTCTGTTTCTGGTGGTCCTCGAGAGTTGGTAAGTCAGCCAGGTATCGTTCCAGGGTCTCGATTCTCTGTTGTCTCTCCCTGTTTTGTTCAGTTTCCTTCTGGCATTTCTTTTTCAGGTTATTAATGTGCTTGTCTCTTCCCTTTACCTGTGGTTATATAAAGTTTAGTTTATATAATTTCTTGTCCATTCTTCAGTCTTTTCTAAGTCCACTCATTCATCTTTTTGTGCAGCACTCAACGTCAAAATACAAGATCACCTTAACTCAGCAATGTTTCTGCTCACTTAAAGACAGGCTTCTGTGGTTGTAAGAAGAGGTACTGAAATATTTTTAACTGCAGGAGGAAAGGCTTTTGCTTATAAGCCAAAGAATTCTACAAGATCAGAAAATACCTACAATAACACACCACCACAGAAAACTTTCACCTAGGCACTACACTGACTTAGCTTCTCAAAGAAAAAACACTTCCCCAGCTCTAGAGCAATGGGATCATACCCTTTCTTCCTGTTTCTTTAACTCCTCTGCATGTTTCTGCATAGTTTCCTTCAGCGACTCCCGAATCAGCTTTGCATCCACCTCTGTAGCAGCCAGTTTTCTCTCCAGTTCAATCTTTTCCTTACTGAGGGATTCAGTCTTTTCTGTGAACTGTGCTCGAAGAAATGTGTTCTCCCTCTGAAGCTCCTGCAAACAGAGACAGCCTATGAATTCGCCTAGTTGTGCCAAGCAGCTGCACTGTCTCAGAGCTGTATTCTCCGCCCTCCTAATTCCCAAACATCATTCAGCCCCTCTCATATACTGCAGTATCTGAAATAGCCCTTGTCAGTGCTGTCAGTGTTTGCATCACTAGCACAGCTTCTAAACAAACCATAGTACTTAAGGGCTTGAATCTCAAGAGTCACAGAAGATCTCAGATCACAGGTAATTGGGACCCCAAACAAAGAAAAATTTTACTCTGCATAACCCTCCTACTCAGGAATTGACTTATGAGAAGTGGTAGGTCTGTTGAATTCAACAAATTTCTTACTGACACCCTGTTGCACCCAATTACCTGCAATCTCAACATGTAGACATCTCCATAGGGTGCTGGGCAGCCAAGCAGGGCACTGTGAACCTGCAGTTCACTTTCCCGGACCTTCTGCTCCAACTGCGATATGTGTTGTCTTTGTCTGTAAAAAAAAAAAAAATACCAACAGGTAAAGAGCAATACAACAGTGCCACCACAACTCTAATGCTCCATACAGTGACGAGCAGAAAAGAAAAACAACGCCAACTCAGAACTGACCTACAGAGAAATAATGTGAAAGAATTCAATTTCTTTACAATTGATATCAACCTTTCTTCCCTCCTCTCCTTTCAAAGTCTCCCCCCAGCAATGATTACAGATAAAACACAAGCCTTGTGCGCTCCTGAGGATCCAGCTTGTCTGCAGAGCTTAGGAGTAAAATGAACAGATATCAGAGGACTCAAAATGAGCAAGCAGAAAGAGTATTTACAGTCCAAATGCTGAAGGTAGTTTTCATTAGGATTTACTTTTTCAAAAAGCTTATGAATCACTGGTGTTAGGTATGAGAAGTGTCGTTTGCCAGCGTAAACTCACAAAGAACATATTTAAAATAATAGTCTCAAAAGGCCCCCAGAAAGTCCTCAAGCAAAAAAGCAGCAGTTTTGACATTCCAGATAATTGTGATGTGAACAGAAATCCTTATCCCTTATAAAACAGAGAACCATAACCAAAACAGTTTCATTTGAACCTTTCAGAATTATCATCTGAATTGCAAAAGGGGAGGAGTTCCTAAAAAATAGGCTATTCTCAGTGGTCATTACAGTGTTCTTTGCAACAAAAAACCTCAATCTGGTAATAAGGACTCCAAGATACAAGCTTTCCTTGCTACTTTCAAAACCCTCCCTTTCCAAAAGGAAATGCACTGGAGTCCTTAAAGCACAGGTCAGTCTCAAACTCTCACCTGTCAATGAGGAGCTCTTTCTCCTTGAGTTGGTTTTCATTGGCGTTTAGGATATTGATCCACTGAGCTGGATCAGGTGTAGGCAGCGAAGGAGAATAAATGGAGGGATGGTGGCAGGCGCCTCCATTTTGTAACTGAAAGACGAGACAAAATGCGGAGGGAGAGGTTTGTGCTCCACAGAGGTTAATTGCAACACTGCTACAGCTATTTTGCACACTGTGTGCTCATCTGCATGCCAGGACACAGCTATTTCAGTCTCCATCAATGTCCAAGAACAAGTAACTTTGCCCAAGCACAACTGGAGATTAACAAATAATTTTAGATCACTGCGGTAGCTCACTGGAAACAATCTGTCTCCATTAAGGTACAGCTGGTGGGAGGTGATAAACAAACTGTTTCCACCTAATAAACCACAGTTAGTTTCACACAACTTTGCAGAAAAGTCTGTTTCCTAACTCTGGATACAGAATACAATTATTCTAGAAACTTAAGAACTCCTTGACATGCTTTTTCATTGCAGTTTCTAGCAGACAGGGTATTTCACCTCTTGATCTGAACCGCTGTGCAGCGCTGTAACATAATCCAGGGCTGCTCTGCATAAGCAGCACATCAAATGATACCTGTGACACCACATGTTGTAAAAACAGATCATTAAGAGACTTTTGGCATAAGAGGGGGAGAAGCATGAGCCATTTTCCCCCCTTTCTTCAAAAGTCTGGGATAATGAGTCATGACTAAAGAGACATGAAGGGTTTCAGACTCATACACAAGCAGCTCCCTACCTGCATTTGCTCTATTTGCAATTGCACTTTCTCCAGCTGTTGTTTCCAAGCACTGAGCTCGCAGATCCTCTCGTGCGGATGGAGGGTGCAGGTTTCTTGCATCCAGCCTCTAGATGGAGGAGTTAAAGGTTTTGAAAAAAAATTGTTGGCCTGGAGTCCTGTTGGCATCAGTCTGCTCCCGCTCGGCCACGTTCCCTCCTGGGGCTCAGAGGCTCCATTAGCCCCCGCCGCTTGCTTACTCTCTGGCAGCACCTTATAATGGTCCTTTCCTGTCTCAGCTGTCCCAGAGTTTGGATTGAACTTCTGGAACCTGTGGAGAGGGTCAGTGCACGAGCTATCCACAAAGAGAGACTGGTTAAGGGTGCGTTCAATGGCAGGGGTATCAAACTTCCAAGTGTCTTCTGTTCTCATGTGATCAGAAACAGGATGCCAGGATTGCTCAAAACCATTTTCCCCTGAAGTCCCGTAGAGACGCAAGAGATCTCTGGATGGCACCTGAGTAGACTTCCCGGCGTTAAAATCTGCGTTTCTCATGAGTCCTGCCGGTTCAGAAGCAGATCCTGGCACAGCAGTTTTTGCAGTACTCTGCGAACAGCTCTGGTCTCCTGCACAGCACAGCTTGGAGGGTGAGGCACCCAGAGTAGAAGGCATAACATGGGCTGTTGGGATGGTCACTTGGGTTTTGATGGGCTGGAATGAGGAACTGTTACTGGAATTGCAAAAGTCTAGGGAAAGAAGAAGAGTGATGCTCTAATTACAATCCTGAAAATATCCTGACACGAACAAGCCACTCCTCTGCTGAACTACACAGAAGAATTTAAAAACCTGATTCCTTTCTCCCCAAACATGTCCTCCTATCAGCAGCACCAAAACTAAGGCACACACTTATGTTCCCCCTCACTACAAGTTTCAGGAGCCTGCTGACATTTTCCTACCACTGTAAACCACAGGGAGAATCCAGGCTTAATTCAGTACACGCTTTTAATCCCCTGTTTTCAAGCTATTCTAGTATAATCTTAAATCAATAAGGTTATCTTACTATAGGTTTAGAAATCAAGATCTTTAAATTGAATAAAAAGGCTGAAACTTACTCAGCTGAACACTGAGACCTTGATTCTGTTCTGCCCGTCCCACAGCTCAGCGACTCTGAACAGTAACCAAAGCTAAGTGGAGCCTTCACTAAGCCCATGATGAGCTTCAAACATAGCTGAACACTAGATCACCAAGCAGTTGACCTTCGAACTCCTCCAGGACACTGCAGCAAAAGAGCTTTTTCTAGAGGCTAGAGTAATGGCTCTCGCCTTATCACCACAGGAAATGAGACAGAGTTCAGCACACGCACCCCAGCATGAGCCCGTCCTGTCAGATGGGCACCAAACCTGGCTACATGGAAATACAGGGTTATTCTTAGCAACTCTCAGATTTCAATACAGCAACAGCAAGAGCTGGGAAAGGCAAACAGCAAAGTGCCTGTTCCCACTCCTTGTCCCGATACGTTGTGTGTTGCTGTAATTCCACGTTTCTCCCAGATACACAAACTTGTTTTCTTCATGGCTTTGGCTAAAGGCCCATCCCCACATGGTGTTTCTTTAATCTAACATCAGGACTGCAAGGTCACCCTTCCACCCCTTTGTCACCTCAAAGCACTGCTACAAAAAGGAATAAAAGGTTACAGTTTGAATATGACCAAAACCAGATTCTAAAAAAAAAAAAATCATCAAAATGTAGGAAAATTTTCATAATAAAAGCGCAAGACCCTCTTCTCAAAAACAAGCAGGAGGGGGAGAAAATCTCTTAGACAGTACTTGGCTGTGCCTAGGAACTCCAGAGAACACTGTGCTACCAAGCAGTCACAAGCACATTCACCCTGGCAAACAGAAGAGACAGTACAGTTTCCTTTTACAGCCCCTAAATTTACACCCCAGGATCACTAACAGGAACTCGAGTTCTCTGACCAGCACGCCACGTGCCGATGCTGCAATCAGTTCCTTGAGTGTGCTAAGGGTCATCTCAACATTTCTGACTAATGTACTGACCTGAAAGTCAGTGTGCTTCAGCCAGCTGTCAGCTCTTACAAACAAGTCTACAACATTACAAACATTCAGAAAGGCAGTTTCCCAAAGAGCCATCGTTATCTCCCCTGCCCTCAGCATGCAGCTGAGGATTTTATTATCCTAGATGGGACACCTAAACACACGCTCTAGTAATACTTTGAGCAATATTTTCACAAGCCACATTTTTTCAGAAGCCTTCATTTCAAGTCACATGTTATTAAATAAGATCTATAGCTCATTCAAAAGGCTCAGGGTAGCTTGTGAGAACACATGAAGCGCTTTGTTCTAAAAAACAACACAAACTTCCTTGCTGCTGAAAGAATTGGTGAATCACTAGTGGTTTATGTTACTTTCATGGATGAAGATGAAAATACTGGGACAAGCAATTTCCCAGAACACGCCTCAGCCAAGGGCAAGGCTGCAGGATTCTGCAGTGAGAAGCACACAGCTCTAATACCGATGAGACTTACAACACAAAGACACACTGATCTGAAGTCTCTAGAGGCACTCATAAATTATTTCTTAAAAAAAAAAATAAAATCACAAAACAGACTTGCTCATAAATTACATGTTGGTCAATATGAACCAGCAAATCAGCAAGGTGGCTCTTTTAGTCAGTTAAAAATGCTTATTAGAAGATAATCAAACTAGCTTAGAAAAACAGCAAGTCCCTCAATCACTTGTTTATATTTCAGGCAGCATATCTGTGTACTGACACGCTGGTTTTGAAATAGTCTCCAAACATCATTACGCATTCTGCTCTCCCCAGGTTATTTAATGCTTGTTGGTCTTCTAAGAAAACTTAAACTCTTTGGCTGTCACCGTGTGATTCTGTGCTGAACATCACCTTCTGTGCTGCTTGAGCAGGAGGTCCCAATGCCCCCATCTCCGCTGTCGGCCACACTGGAACAGCGACTGACACGGCTCTGGAACTTCACAGACAACATCGGTGTTTTCCAGTCAGTCCCCGAGAAATTACTTTTCTGACTGGTGCTGGGATCTGGAGAGAGAAAGCCAAGGACATTTATGTTTTAACCAACAGACTGAAAAGTCTTTTAGTACACACAGTTAAGCCATATCTAATATCCCCCGCTACCAAAACCCAAACTTGCTTTACTCCCCATATTGTTGCTAAAGAAATCTCTTTTGCAAAAGAAAATGGCAGCAAGCACCGGGAAGCCAAATGCTATCAACAGGAGACTGAAAATCAATCTTGTTATGGAAGTCAGGATGCAAAAGCAGTAAGTGATATTCCCACTGATAAGTCTGGGGATATTACACCCAGATGATGCTCCAGTACTCAGACTAAAAAGAACAGCAGCATTAGCAGGCAGCAAAACTGCTTAAGTTAAAGATACATTTTTGCATCTTGCAGATTTACCAGTTATCGAGAGACAGGTTTGTTATCAAATGGCTCTTTATCTTTGCATATCCACGGAATTGTTTTATTTTGCAGGGATAAAATATTGTTTTTATAATAAAAAGCTTTTAGTAAAGAACTTTTCTCAGGGCCATCTGGCTCCTCAGAGAAACTGAAACAAGATCCGACAGCAGCAGGGCTTTAAAGAAAGGACTGTCCTTACCTGATGGACTGTTCTGCTGGAGCCCCAGGTCTGGATGTTTCTCAAGAGCAGCCATCTTATATGTAGTGAACTATAAGGCAATAAATAAAACTCCTCTTTTAAATCAGCATAAACCAAACCCCGTTCCCACTAACCGAGCGAAGGGTACATACACACCAGTTACTCTTCATTCAGAGTAACACAGTATTTCATAATTAGCATTTCCTCCCAAGAATATCTGTTTCATCCCTGCAGCAACAGAGGCAATGCTTAAAAAAACCCCCTTTGCAGTTATTGTAGGTTTTCTTCATGCCTGAGAAATGAGGAGAGTTCCTGTTTGGAACATTCTGCAGGTATGCAGCAGTTCATCAGTGCCTTTCAACTGGGGCATGTGTTATCCCCATCGGCGTTATTTATAGAGCATCAGTCACCATGGTACCTACACACTGGCTTTATGGCTGTAGAGACTAAAAATTTCCCTTTAAAAATCTTAACTTTAAACCAGTTCATTTCTGCCATCTGTAGAGGTCACTAAGTAACTACATGCAGAAATGTCATTCAGAACTTTGCGCTGCTGTTCCATAAATGGCAATCATTATCTATCCAAAGCTTTGGTTTAATTTATCTGCTTATCTGAGTACTTCAGACAGTGAATTTCCTTTCCTGCCTCTGATGATGCAAGTATAATTTACAGTTCTCGGGCTTCACTGTGGAAATTCAAGGCCCCACTCTACCAGTCAAATAGTAAATCCTCAATTGCCAGCTCTCACAAAAATGTACTTAACTGACTCAGAGAGCTTATAGAAACCATTAATTCCTAGAAAACACACATATGCAGATTTTAAGACATAGGAGTACAAAAGGATAATGAGCCAGAAGCAGCATTTCACTCAGCAAAGAGATAAAACACTTCTAGCTAAAGATAGCACTGATTATGTTTAATTTAGGTACATTTCAGAAATTCCTGGGTTTAAATCCCAGTCTCCAGCACTACAGTCAGGCAGTTTAACAGGGAAATTCAAGCATAGGCTCTTGAAATAAAAGAGACAAAGCAACCAAAGCATTCCCACCTCACCCAGCACCACCCTCTCACAGACACACACACACCCCCCGAGAGCACCCACACCATCCTACAAACCTGCACCCTTCCACCAGCGGGCACAGGGCAGCAAAGGGGGTGGGAAGGGACATGTGCAAAATAAGGAAAAACGAAGGAGAAAGAGGAAGGGGAGCGGTGGGTCACGAAGAGAAGGGGAGCAGCGCTTTACCCCATGGAAGGGGAGAGTTTGGCGGGTATGTGGAGTGATGTGGAGCCCTTCACTCCCCGGAAGGGGATGGAGGAGAAGAGTGATTTAGGTGAAGGAAAGAGAGAGGGGAAGGCGGGAGGGACCAACTGCCTGGAGGGCGCAGCCTGACCCCGAGGGGCCGGTCCCCCGGGGGGGCGAGGGGCCGGTCCCCCGGGGGGGCGAGGGGCCGGTCCCCCGGGGGGGCGAGGGGCCGGTCCCCCGGGGGGGCGAGGGGCCGGTCCCCCGGGGGGGCGAGGGGCCGGTCCCCCGGGGGGGCGAGGGGCCGGTCCCCCGGGGGGGCGAGGGGCCGGTCCCCCGGGGGGGCGAGGGGCCGGTCCCCCGGGGGGGCGAGGGGCCGGTCCCCCGGGGGGGCGAGGGGCCGGTCCCCCGGGGGGGCGAGGGGCCGGTCCCCCGGGGGGGCGAGGGGCCGGTCCCCCGGGGGGGCGAGGGGCCGGTCCCCCGGGGGGGCGAGGGGCCGGTCCCCCGGGGGGGCGAGGGGCCGGTCCCCCGGGGGGGCGAGGGGCCGGTCCCCCGGGGGGGCGAGGGGCCGGTCCCCCGGGGGGGCGAGGGGCCGGTCCCCCGGGGGGGCGAGGGGCCGGTCCCCCGGGGGGGCGAGGGGCCGGTCCCCCGGGGGGGCGAGGGGCCGGTCCCCCGGGGGGGCGAGGGGCCGGTCCCCCGGGGGGGCGAGGGGCCGGTCCCCCGGGGGGGCGAGGGGCCGGTCCCCCGGGGGGGCGAGGGGCCGGTCCCCCGGGGGGGCGAGGGGCCGGTCCCCCGGGGGGGCGAGGGGCCGGTCCCCCGGGGGGGCGAGGGGCCGGTCCCCCGGGGGGGCGAGGGGCCGGTCCCCCGGGGGGGCGAGGGGCCGGTCCCCCGGGGGGGCGAGGGGCCGGTCCCCCGGGGGGGCGAGGGGCCGGTCCCCCGGGGGGGCGAGGGGCCGGTCCCCCGGGGGGGCGAGGGGCCGGTCCCCCGGGGGGGCGAGGGGCCGGTCCCCCGGGGGGGCGAGGGGCCGGTCCCCCGGGGGGGCGAGGGGCCGGTCCCCCGGGGGGGCGAGGGGCCGGTCCCCCGGGGGGGCGAGGGGCCGGTCCCCCGGGGGGGCGAGGGGCCGGTCCCCCGGGGGGGCGAGGGGCCGGTCCCCCGGGGGGGCGAGGGGCCGG